CTCCTGCCTCTGCCTCCTAGTGCCAAGATAAAGGCATGTGCCACCATACCTAGTCCCTAAGCATTCTTTTAAGCCCAGCTGAAAGCCAGCCCTCCACGACACCTTCAGTGACCTCCTACAGTACTTAGTAAGACACCTGCTTTTATAGCTGACTATGCTCAGCCATTTTATGACAAAGATGCAACCATATACCTTTGTGAAATCTTAGCTCTGTAAGAAATGCAGTCTGGTGCTTTAACCTTAGGTTGTCTGAAGGCCTAAACCCTCCTGCACTACTACTTGAATGTTAAGAATCTGTGTTGCCCCACATTGGTGAGGAGTGCTTCTATTTACACCCTCCAGCTATGTTACTCATCAGTGTGACATTCAGAGGCACTTTCATTTCTTTCTGTGCTGAACTCAAAGAACTCTAACGAGCCCAGTTTTCTTGTCTAACAGCTGCTTTGTAGAGATGTAAAGGCATCTATGGCTGTTCAGTAAAGACAGAGCCTTACAGTATAAACACGAACGACTCAACGGATTTGACCTTCGGTAAACAGAATCACTTTCAGAAAAATCTTAGTAGCCCAGAAAGACACAGAGGGTAGGGACAGAGGCAGAGAAGTATTACCCTCCCCTCCAAAGGAGCATGGAGCTGTGAGCCACCTTCCTCAGAGGGTTGTAGAATCGAGATGCTCTCTGTTTGTGGACTTGTGGCGTGGGAAGGGACCTCAGTGACCACCCAACCTGACCCTGGCATTTCATCCTTGGGAAAAGCAATGCCTGTCAGCTAAACTAGCTCATCTAAGATTTGGTTACATTAGTTAACGTATCTATTTGGAGATTTTACAACATGTGCATATATCCTTAGAACATTAATAGTTTTGAGGAACTCCATCCTCAAAGGAATTAATGCATTTTCCCCCAGATTTGGTCCCAGGATTATTTACTATGAATAGTTTGTCTTCCTAGAACCAGAAAGAAAAGCAGAGACCAACTCTAAGTGTTCTCAGGCCAAAAGGGATCCATGGATACCAAGGCTCACTACTTGATTGGTTCAGTACTCATGTAGCTTCTTTTACTTTATATGTATTTTTTATTATTCTAAGTTACACAAGGCTATTTTCATGAATGTATCCAATGTACTTGAGCATACCCCCCACACTTTACATCCTCTTCTTTTATCCCCTCTCCCTCCTGTTGATCTCCTTTGTTCCCCTACACGGATTCTCTTAACCTTTCGTATTATCATATGAGTTTATGTATCTATATAAAGATCCAAGACCCACAAATGTGATAATTTTTCTGAGACTGACTTACTTCACTTAATATGATTATCCCCAGTCGCATTTTAACTGATGAGCCTGTATTCAGCAAAGTGCTGGGGTTTGGAAATATGATTTTAAAAATAAAGGTAGAGGGGCTGGAGAGATGGCTCAGTGGTTAAGAACACTGGTTGTTCTTGCAGAAGACCCAGGTTCGAATCCCAGCACCCACATGGCAGCTCACAACTGTCCGTAACTCCAGTCCCAAGGGGCTTCGATAGCCTCTTCTGTCCTCCTTGGGCACTGCACGACACGGGTGCACTTACCTACATGCAGGCAATACACACATACACATAAAATAAAGATAATAAAGTTAAAAAAAATAAAAATAGAATTTTGAGAAACTAATGTTGTGAGATTTATGAATCTGCTAAACAGGAGGAAGATAACTCTGTATGTCTAAATAATTCCTTCACACTGCCTTTCCTTCATGTACGCTATTCTTCTTGACAGGTGTGTTTACGAGTTCCAAGAAGTCCGCTGTAAAGATGGCGAAATGGGGGCTGGAGAGATGGTTCAGCAGTTAAGAGCACTGGCTACTCTCGCATAGGACCTGGGTCTGATTCCCAGCACCCACATGGCAGCTAACAACTGTCCATAACTCCAGTTCCAGGAGAATCTGACGTCCTCTCCTGACCTCTGCGGGCATTGCATGACACGGGTGCATTTACATGCATGCAGGCAATACACTCATACACATTTAAAAAAAAAAAAAAAAAAAAGGTGGTGAAATGAAGATGCACACGAAAGACCCTGACCAAGAAGCCAGCTCTGCAGACAGCAGTCAAGGGACAGCAAGGTCACCAAACCTCATCGGACCTGGGGCAAGGCCTTGGCCTCCCTGGAGCTGGAGCTCCCCTGTGGTCTCCCTTGTGCAGATGACCAGCCCACATCAAAGAAACAAAACCATCACACTCTACCTCCAAGAGCTGTTGAGAACTACACACAAGAAAAGGATCTGAAAAATGCCATGTAAGAAAGAAGCCAGGGAGGTACACGGGGATAAGAGGGGGCCCTGCTGAACATGGGGTAGGCTGTCGGTGTCAGTAAGCCGTATTCTCATCCCATCTTTTCCCTGCAGTGACCTGAGGAAATTTGCAGTCTGTCCGACCTCCTTCTTCCTGTGGCCATTGGTCCCCACCCTGCACTTTCTTCATTATTAAAAAAAAAAAAAAAATCTCATGTATATATAAAAAACAGAAACTGATGATAAAGGAACCTCCATGCATCCATCACCTACCCACTGGACCATAATATACCACACCCCATGGCTAACCCTATGTTACTGCCTACACATTCATTCTCCCATCCCTAAACCTGCAGGATCATCTTTAATTGAATCCTAAACACACTTTGATTTTCACAGTTCTTTAAACATGCAAATCATATTTATTTGCCTATTTTTTCTTGCTGCTGTAGTGCTGAGTATCATGCCTAGGGCTTTACACATGCTAGGTAAGCATTCTACCACTGAGTTATACCTTCAGTACCCATCTTCTTTCCTTTCCTGTGTATGTGCATGTGTATGTGCATGCATGTAGAGACCAGAGGACAACCTTGGGTGTTGTCTTCATGTGCTGCCTACCTTGTTTTTTTAATTTAAAGATTTATTTATTAAATATTTTATTTATTTTGTTTTATATGTATGAGTGTATTGCCTGCATGTGGTGGAAGACCCATGTCAAGCAAAGTCCAAGAGGTCAGAAGGCATTGGATTCCCCTGGAAGTGGAGTTACAGATGGCTGTTAGCCTCCGTGTGGATGCTGGGAACTGAACCTAGGTTCTCTGCAAGAGCAACCAGTGCTCTTAACTGCTGAGCTGTCTCTCCAGCTCCAAATTTATTTATTTCTAATTTCTGTGTATGGTGTTTTGTGTGCATGTATATATGTGTACCATGTGCATGCAGTACCTGAGGAGGCCGGAAGAGGGCGTTGAATCCCCGGAACCTGGAGTTACAGGTGTTGAGAACTGAATCTGCACCCTCTCTTAACTGCTGAGCTTCTCTCCACCACCTCCATCTTGTTTATTGACAGAGTCTCTTACTAGCCTGGAACTTGCCAAGTAGATAGGCTGGTTGGCCAGACAGTCCCAGGGATCTACCTGTCTCTGGCTCCCCAGGGTACATGCCTGGCTTTTTAACATGGGTTCTGGGAACTGAACTCAACACTTTACTGATTGAGCTATCTCTCCAGCCTCCCCTTATTTTTCTTAATTCAACATTTCTGATGTAAATTATTTAGAATAATAAAATGGAGACAATGGTGGTGCTGTATTCCCAGCTAAAGAAAACTCTAGAAACAATTTGTTAGGGAAGAGTCAAGACAGGTAGCCTGCAGAGATACCTGTTGTTATGGGAACTGAGCATACTGATGGGAAGAAAGAGCACTTGTCCCCTTTACTTGAATAGATCTCTGTTCTAAGTCCAGGTCTCCTCCCACTAAGGGAAGCTCAGCAGCTCTAGTTTCACACTCCCCCTCCCCTGGGAAGTCATCCTGGGCTCCTCCAGTTAAAACACCTTCCCCCTGCTTTGCTTTCACAGCACTTTATTATTCTGGTATACAGAAGGTGCTCAATGAAGGCTTGTACACGGAGCAAATGGCAGGTAGAGCTTGTACCTTTCTCCCTTGTGAGTGGCACACACATGTGTTTCTCCCACTAAATTCTCAAGTCTACAAGGAAAAAGGTACTGTCAAATCAGCTCTGTATATACAGGACTTCTGATGCATTTATCTCTACTTTGTAGGTGGTTCCATGGGGGTCTCATGAAGGGAGAGATATCCTCTAGGAAAAGAACTCACCTTGCCAAATGGTTAGAGCATGAGGCTTAAGGAGAATTTTATGTATCTTATGGGCAGAAAGAAATTCCAGTGGTGGGGCTGGAGAGACGTCGCAGAAGTTAAAAACACTGGCTGCTCTTCCAGAGGAGCCGGGTTTGATTCCCAGCACCCACACACTGGCTAACAGCTGTCTGTAACTCCAGTTCCAGGGGATCCAACCCCCTCTTCTGGCCTCTATGGGCACTGTATGACATGGGTGCACTTAGATACATGCAGGCAAAACACTCATACACATAAGATAAAAATAAATAGATTAAAAATAATTCCAATGGGTTGAGTCCTCCTCCCTCCACTGCTTTCTTGTCTTAGGTGAACAGTTTTGGGCTTGTCATCATAAGTGAAAGAATCTGGGTGTGGTTTCCTCTGACCAAATGACCTAGCAACACCTGCAAACACCCCAATCCCAATTTCCTCTCTTCTCTCCCAAGGGGAAGGCTGCCTTGAGTCGCTGCCCACAGGATGGAATTACAGGCACATCTGAGGCAAAGGTTTTTTTATGCTGTGTCTGGTCATTAATTAGCCCCTGGAAACTTCTGGATGGGCCCATTAGTATGCTCATAAACCTTTTATTTTAAATGTTTTCGCTTAGCCACCATATTCCGAGGTGACTCTCCTTGTAAGCTGGATGAGGACATTCATTCCTTAACATTTCTGAGGCTCATTAACTGCTCCCTCCCAGCGGCTCATTAACCAGCCCATTAGGGACTCTGCCTCATCCAGGCAGAAGCCTCCACTTGCCCTCCCCAAGCCTTTGCAAGCACCTAATTGGGAATGGCATGAGGCTAGCCGCAAGGCTCTGAACAGGGAGCAAGGCTTCTGCTGGGTGGTGAAGGGATGCCAGACGGGTGGACATACTCACCTGCTATTCTCCCAATGGGCATGGCATGTTCTTCAGGCGGGGACACAGAGACCATGATGTGGTTCATGTAAGCCAGGTCCTCCCGATGAGACAGGTTGATGGGCTTCCCTTCCCTATGCAGCCCATCCTCGGAGAGCCGGGACTGTTTGAAATCCACCGAATGCCGGGGGTTCAGGATCAAGGGGTGCATGATGGGGCTGGGCATCAGCTGGATCACTCGAGTGCTCTCCTGCCGGGGGCTAGAGGGCTTTGGGTGGGATTCGGAGGGTGGTGGGCAGTGATTATTCTCCATGGGAGACACTGACAGGGGGTAGGACTCCTGGTGGTTGTTTTCCTGCTGGAGTCTTGGCCCCTGGGCCCTCTCCGCTGGGGAGAGGTGGCGGATCATGTTGTCCAGGGGGGACCGCAGGGGCCGCTGCTCGGGGTCTGGAGAAGGTCGGTGATTTGTGGTGATGGGTGACCTAGGGCGGTGTAAGAGTTCAATGGTGGGAGGGTTGTGGTGCATGCTCTCCATGGATGGCCTGGGCGTCCTCTGGACACAGTTATCTGTGGAGCAGAGGGAAAGACAATCAAGACCCCGGTGAATCTGCAGCCCTACAACTTCAAGGTGGCTCTACAGGTAGCTGTACTGGTATGTGGAGACCCTCTGAACCCAGCATACTGTGTCTCTTCCAGTGCACATTGTGGACATTGCTAGACAGGCGAGGAATGCCCACTAGCATCCCACTTATCACCTATCAGTGGCTGACAAATACAAGGAGCCCAGTTCCCTTTATTTTTTCTTACTTGACTCCTCCCTGTGAGGTTTGAGGTGTGTGGGGTTCCTAGCTGGTTCTTTCCAGATGCTCTGAAGGGCTTGCATTTTCACAACCCAATTGTCTTTATCTCAAAGAGTTATTATTGCTGATAATGAGGACCAAAGATGACTATATTCTAGGTACTAGATTTTACTGCTTAAAACTTGTAACTGGGGCTGGACAGAAGGCTCAGCAGTTAAGAACACTAGTTGTTCTTGCAGAAGACCAGGGTTCAAATCCCAGCACCCACATGGTAGCTAACAGTCTGTAACTCCAGTTCCAGTGGATTCGACAGCCTCTTCTGTCTTCCGTGGGCATTGCAGGACACGGGTGCACTTACCTACACACAGGCAATATACGCATAAACAAATTAAAAATAAATAAAATATTAAAAAAACTTGTAACCCTCTTAAGCAGAAGATAGCACTATTATTCCTGTTTTACAGATGATAAAACTGAGTCACAGGCAACTTATTCCAAGTCACACAGCTGGTTAGCAGTTAAAACCATATTCTAAAATCTATATACTTATTATAGCACTTTGTCACTCAGATCCTAGCCATCACACCAAAACTTGCTCTCCTCATCAACAATGGTCTGTTATCATCATCATCATCATCATTATTAATAACAACAATGGCCATTATTAGAAATGACAATTTTGCACTTGGGAGAGCTTTCAGAAGCTTGTTCCCAAGTGCACAGATCTTGTACATGCTCAGAGAGTAAGTAGAAGCAAACAGGAAGAAGGATGGATAGGCACCCCAGCAACATATGTACACCACCCAATTGGAACCTCCAAGTTGCTGAGGAATGGACCAGCACAGGTGGAGCTGGGTTCTCTGTTAAAGCTCAGGACAGGAATCCACCCATAAAAATGTACTGGCTCGCATCTGTCTTAAAGGGGGGGGGGTGTCTCTGGCCACATATTGCCCAGGGCAGTCTCAGCAAAAGGATGAACATTCTTGCTGATTCCTAGGCTTGCCCACAGCGCTAAGAAAATGGTGTCAAAGATATCACCTTTGTCCACTAAACCAGTGTCTATAAATAAAGAACCCATTAAAAGGGAAATGGGACTCTGACAGGGTCAGTAACCAGGGGAAGAGGTGGTGATTTCCTCAAAGTTTATACAGGGCTAGCATTAAAATGGGGAATTTCTTTTTCTTTTAAAAGTTCTACTAGATCTCCCCTATCACACAAGATATGCACAAAAGAAATACTGAGCGTGACACATAAAGGTTGTCAGGAAGGGAAAGTGCCTGTTTTGTGACTACTGTAACTTGTTGCCATAAATCCAAAAGCACTTATTCATTGGAATAGTTATCAACAGGAGACTTGCTTAATACATTATATATCTCTAAATAATGAAGCACTATACAACTTAAAAAGGAATGAGGTATATATCAATGTTTTGCTGAGGAAGTATCCAGGTAATATGGCTGTACACAAAAGGAATGATAAAGTATTTATAACCTGTGACCATTTACCTAACAAGGGAAAGAGGGAGTTCCAATTTCAATAAAAGCAGAGTAGCTTACCAGACCAAACGCCCCACAGGTAGAAATGATAGAAACTGGATAAAGCACATTCAAAAAGGCCATTTAAAGGTACTGGATGGTGACTCAAAATAGACAAAAACAGAAGGGAATTTTATTCTTGAAAGAAAGAACCTTCACAGAGCAAGACACAGCTTTATACAGCTTTTCCCCCAAAGTACTCCAGTCTGTGGAGCACAAGGCAGTTCGAAGATGGGCAGAAAGCTGCTTGAGCTGCCAGAGGATAAAACAAGTAGATGCCAAAAAGGAAGCAAATCTCAAGAAGAGAGCATGGGGGGGGGGGGGGGGAAAAAAAAAAGAGCTATGGAACGGCACGAGAGAGTTCTTCCAAATGCTTGTCTGACTCCTGAACAATTCATAGAGATGGGGAATTCAAAAGCAGTGGTTGTGTGGCTCAAACCTATGAGCAGAAATCTCAGCTCCTGGACCCAACAATGGAAACACAGGTTAGAGTTTGAGTCTCATTAAGTTAGAAGGCTCTGCCAACACTTCAGTGTGTCCACTTACCCCAGAATGACCACACGTTAGCAGTAAAGACCGTGCTGCAGGACAAAGAGAATTTGCTGAGGGCTAAAGGCAAAACTGAAAGATTTGCCCCAATAACAGGAGACTAAGCAATCTTCATATTCAGAGGGACATGCTTACACACCGAGAGAACAAAAGTCAATATTCTTCAGGGGAATAAACATACTCCAAAGTTTCTACAGTGTGTTCTGTAATGTTCAGTATCAATACGATTTTTCTAGACACAAAAGGCCATCAACACAAACAGATTCTGAGACAATATAGAATAGATGGAATTAGCAAAAAAGATTTTAAAGGACCTTAAGAAAGGACTGTAAGGTAACTATTATAGATAGGATCATACATTTCAGGGAAAGGCATAGATAGAAACTTCCAAAAGAGGGCTGGAGAGATGGCTCAGTGGTTAAGAGCACTGACTGCTCCTGGAGAGGACCCAGGTTCGATTCCCAGCACCCACATGGTGGCTAATAACTACCCATAACTCCAGTTCCAGGGAAGCCGAGGCATTCTTTTCACCTCCTCGGGCACTGTATCACACAGGTGCACTTAGATGCAGGCAATACACTCATACACATAAAATTAAAATATTAAAAAAAAACTGTCAAAAGAGAAACCAAACTTAGAAACCGAAATGAAGATTCTAGAACTGAAAGGTATAATATACAAAATGGAAGATGAGATTGGATGGATTTAACAACATATTGAAGATGAGAAAGGAAAAAGTTAAAAATAAAATTAAAACCAAATTACAACATCAAAGAGTTAAATATACCTGTACCTGGAGTGGAGAAAGAAAAGACAGGAAAAAAGCAGAAGAAATAACGACCAAAGTTAGGCCCAAAGTTAGTAATGACTACCACAATATCAACAACAAACTTAAAAATTCAGGAAGCTCAGCAAATCCAATCCCAGGTTACAATGAACATCACACCCAGGCACAGGATAGCCAAACTGATGAAAATCAAAAGTAAAACAGAAAACTTGGGCTGGTTATGGTACAGTATGTTTACAATTCTAGCACTTGGGAGGGTAAGGCAGGATTGCCATGAATTAGACATCAGCTTGTACTACACAGTGAATTGACGCCAGACTGGTCATGCAATGAGACCTTGTCTCAAAAATCAGAGGGCGAGGACGGGACAGGGGTTGGGGTAGGGGTATGGATGGGACACGAGGAGATGATGATTGGTTGACCATGAATCTTAAAAAGCAGTGTGGGGGGTGAAGGGGATGGAAGATAAAGTTGAGCATATACAATCCATCCAAAATGTTTCAGAGACTCTGAAACTTGCTCAGTGTGTCTACAAAATGCCATAATGCCACCCATAGAAAGTTCCATACCAGGACATTTGTTTCATCAACAAAATTTGAAATATTATATAAAATTCCTTCAGCTACATGGATTACAGTGTATATGAATTATAAATAAATTTCATGTTTAGAACTTGGGTCCTATCACCATCCTGTACACATTACAAAATCTGAAAAAAAAAAATCCCAAATCCAAACTCTTCCAGATCCACAAGTTAATGCACACTGTGCAAAGTTATTCTAATTATGGCAACGTTCTTTTAAAGAAGGGGTTGGGAAGACTGACCAACTGCTTGCAATCTTGAGACCCTTTCTTGTATTCACACTGTATATAGTATTTTCAAGCTGGCTGGAGAAATGTGACCGCCCACCAGATGTTGGATAATGCTGAGGAACTAACTATTGGCATTCAGCTGATACGGTTCTGATTTTATAAAGTACCTGTATCTTTTTAGGCCTATTCTGATATATTTATGGATGAAAGGATTCATTGGGGATGGTGAAGAGGGGGTAAGGTATGAAGGAAACACGTTTGGTCATGATTGGTTCTTGAAACTGGTAGTGGGTTCATAGTTAATTATATATATAAAATCCTCTCTATTTTTGTAGTGATTTGACAGATTCTATCAGGAAAGTCTTTCTCGTTCCCTTTCTCTCTTTTGACAGGACCTCACTCTGTAGCCCCTCAAACTCAATGTAATCCTCTTGCCTCCGCCTTCCAAGTGTTGGGATTACAAGTGTGAGTCACTGTATGCATCTAAAAAGTTTCTTTATGAAGGGTTTAAAAACGTTGCAAAGATACAGGTTGGGATGAAACACTATCTCATTTTTAAGTGACTCAGTGCAGTTAACTGTAATGGAGAAAATTTAGTAATATTAGGGTAGAAGCAAGCTGTAATTTTTGGAATAAGGCAGATAGTCTAATATGGACCTAAATTTTGCCACCCATAAAGACAAATTTATCTTTCAGTTTGTCATACATAGTATGATCATTGCAATGCAACTACCTGAGACAGTTTTGTTCTGAACTTTCAGTATTTCTTCTAAATGTCATTTAAAGAATGTCTCTACTTAAAAGATTATTAAGGTTTAAAAAGACCCGCAGATGATGGAGACTGTACTGGAGAGAGAGAGAGAAAAAAAAAATCCCACTTCCCCAATCCATTTCCAGTCTTATGAATTTCAAAATGGACATGGGCGTTTGTCAGTAATCTGGTTACCTGCAGGCTCTCTTTGATGTCCTGGTTTCAAGTCTTGGCTTGTGGGTGTGTACTGGGGGCAAGCCTTAGGAAGTCTGGGAGGACTAGGAGAGGAAGAACTTTCATGCCAAGGGGAAAAGAGGAACTGATGTAATGTC